TGAGCCGTTTATTTTGAAAATGGGGCAAGTCCAATTTTTGTTATTGCGAGATATTTAAAGGTTTGCATTTCAATAAATTTAAAAATATTGGTAAGTATTAATAGATATATTTTTAATATTTTGTGGTACCAGATAATGTAAGTTTATAATTCAATAGTGTTTACAGTGCTGACTAAAAAAAGTAAGAGTTTCATTATAACTAAATGGACTTGCCTCACTTTCAAAATTAATGAATTATTGTAATCGTTCATTTAATTGGGAATTTTTTCAGTTGCATCAGCCTTTTTTTAATAATAAAAACAAAATACTATTCAAATTTTTATAAATATTTATTCATTTGATAAAAAGTGAAACAAAACAAAGAATATTCTAGTAGAAAATATAACATAACAAAAAAAAATTCAGTTTTATTAAGAATTTCAATCAAATTATACATTTTCAGTTTATACATAGGTATAACTAAATGAATTTTATTCAGGATTTAACATTTTAAAATATTCATGATGAACGGGAAGTATATATGGTAATAAATCCATCGTGTCCTTGTATTTTTCAGATGTAATAGATCTTTTTTCATACAGAAACGATAATTTTATATTTCCGAAATTACTTGGTCTTCCTCGTTGTAGTGACAAATCGATAATTTTAAATTTAGCATCTCGTTTTATTGATGTTTTGTAGAACATTTTGTATGGTGCAGTCCTTGTAAATCTGATCCAGCATATATTTAACCAATTCACGGTTTCTCCATTGGTATTTTTGTTTTGTTTTTTTTAACTACTTTCCCCAGAGGTTATGTTGAAAAAAAATTTTTGCGTTTCATTTCATGTACTAAAAATTTATTATGTTTTCGACAATTTTGTATTAGTTTATAGTAATCCTGGGAAATATACAAGGAACTGGTTTTCCGGATTGCCATTTCTACCACTCCAAAATCACGATCGTTCGGTAAAAATGAATGTTCTGAAAATAAAAATTTGTGATCAATGATATTTATTTCATTGTCACTGGCCTGAACAATTTTCATCCACATTAAGGCCAACTTTATGTTTCTATTTTGGCCAGTGCACATGTCACTATAAGCTATAATGTGTTTTTGGGTTGTCACAGTCTGTAAGTGCTTCAAACAGCAAGATGCTACTTCTTGTGCTCTTCGGGATGTTATAGTTTCATCCCAAACATACATACTAACTTCATCATTATGAAAATTGTGGAAGCCTTGATTCAATACATACATATTCCGCTTATATTTCTCGGTGTTGGAAGTAAACATATTATTATCGAAACACAAAATTAAGATATACTTTTTCTTATTTATGAAATATTGTACAACCACCTACTTTCAATATCAAAGATAGATAGATAGAAACACCCTAGATTTCAGACATGATGTCAAACGGCCACATTACTTCACCATACAGCAACTGGAGCTAAATTTTGCCGTAATATATGCAGTCAGAAATAACTTCAATCTAAGATGGACTTGCACCACTATCAAAATAAACATATTTTCAATACTGTTAAGAGCTAAAACTTCCGTCCCCCAAATATTAGAATCTGAATCTTTTTTTACTATAAATTGTTTACACATAAAAAAATCATAACAAGTTTTATCTATAACTACCATTATCTCAATTTTTTCAAAAATGGACTTGCCCCACTTTCAAAATAAACGGCTCATATGTATATAAGTTGACGTGTATTTTACATTATACTCTTGGACTGAATGAACCAAAAAGTATTTTAATTAACCATGAAAATTCTTAAAGTATTGAAGATATTCTATTCTAATGCTCAAAAAATTTTTGAGTAACTAAAGAGATCTTCGAAGGTCAAATTTTCTAGTACGAAGAAACCCAAGGAGAAAAATATCATCCATATGAATATCAATCCCTTATTCCCCTATTGAAGTCAGAAAGAAAAATATATTCATTATATTATAATAATAACTCTTAAAATGCATAATTATGTATTAATATTAATATATTTATGTTTTTATTACCCGAAAGTTTTAAAAATCTTTACTTACTGATAATCCTTTTGATATCTTTTAAGGCATTTTCATTATAAGAAAACACTTCTTTTTCTTCCTCAAATATTGAATTTTTAATGCTTATTTCACTCATATTTTACTGAAAATTTAAATAATTTTCAAATAAACTTCATATCTGTTAACAACTACTTCAATTCTCTTACATACATTTAATTATTATTATTATATCTGAGATAAAGTTTTGTATTAAGCAGTTGTACGATATTTTAAATATATATCAATAATATCATAACTTTTTATAATATATTTTCTTAATTAATTGTAGTAATTTGTTACTTGTGTACAAAATGCATAATAATAATTGCAAATTTGTACAAATTATAGATTATAACCGAAAGTAGTAAAAATTAAATTGCCTATTTACCTTTCGTCACACGAAAGAGTGAAGAATATTAATTGGGTAAAGGAATTTATATTTGGATATATTGTCGAATAGAATAGGGTAGAATTAAAATACGCTTGTAACTAATTAATTATGCAAATAATTAAACAGCAAACGGTAGAAGAATGGTGAAGAATTACTAAATAAGAGTTTTATAACACTCGAAAAATCNTATATATATATTTATTAATTTTAGCCACACATGGAATAATTCTTACTCTCGTTAACTTAATATGACTCTGGAAAATATCATTAGGCACTGTTCCTGTACACGAGAAGGAATAAAAGTAAATACTTGTTTACATTATTAAAATAGCCAGAAGTATAATTAGTATTTATTCTTATATCTAGTTTTTTTCATTCTCTAATAATTGAGACAATTCACTTAGACGTCAATGCATAATTAAGTATTGATTTTGATTTTTAATAATATGAAAACAAAGACGAAAATAATTTTTAGTTTTTATATAATAGCAAGTGTATGTATTATTATATATTTTCGTTACATCGGGGTATAATGACATCGCGCGATATAACGAGGGGCTATTATATTATTGTCACCTTGTTCGTCACATTGATATTACATAAAAGTTAAAAAAACAATCCAAAAAATACAAAAATTAAATAATCTTGAGAGTTCATTTTTAAACAGTTTAATTAAATGCTGTCAAGTAAATTTTGAGTGTGTTATAGAGAGCGGTTGTTCGTTACTCTGTCTAAAGGTGAGATCGAATAAATTGGGAGTTCAAGTACATTAAGATATCACTTAAAGTTCAAAGGTGACTACAGTAAGTACTTTTGAACTATAAACAATATCTTTATTATGAAGAAAGTCCCGTGATATCGTTTAAAAGTGCTTGATGTACGCCTACTTGTACGCGTATGCAGGTTGGCGAACGACAGCTTTAGATACCGCGAGCCCCCGGTTGGGAATCTCCATAATAAAAAACCGGTTTGTATTTTCCCTAACCTCTGTTCAATTTTTCTTGTACAAGTGTACCTTACGCCATCTGTTGTTAGTAATTCATATTACTAAGCGCATTTTAAAGTTTTAAATTAATTAAACTGAATTTTTAAGAAGAGAATATATAATTTGAGTATTTAAATATTTGAAAGTAATACGAATATTTTCATTATAAATAAATACAATTAGATTTGACACAGTTTAATTGAAATCATTCTATAAGTTGTTTTGTTAAGTAACATTTTAAAAAGTATATAAATTAAAAATTAATTAATTAATTATTATAACAGTGTTTAAAATGCATTTATTATATATATTCTTAAACAAGAAATCCTTCTCCAAACACCCATTCAGTTACTAAGTAATTTTAGATGAAGTTCTCGTGTAGTTCACGTATAATAAAATGAAGGGCATTTCAATGAAATGTTTAGAATTTTAAGAATTAAGTAGGGAAATGAGTTGTGTTAAAGATGAAGTATAATATCAAGTAAGGTAGAGAGAATGGCAACCCTGTTTAATGACTCCAGGTCAAGGTTCGTGATCATTCCTTAGCAGCAGTACAATATAAATGAAGTGAGGAAACTCTGCAAGACGTTAGCATATAATTTTCTACAATTCCTTCCGTGGGGAACTGGTCTAGAATGTTTCTGAGGAAAGATAAAAAAGCTAAAATACATAACATGGCTCATACGTGTTAAAATAGATTATGGAAAAATCATGAAAATCTTCAATTGGCAGAAAAACCAGCGATCTTGGTACTTTCCTGGTTCATAGTCCTTAAGGAGGAATTAACATTCAGTTGTACTGTCTTTAGGGAGAGACAGAGCAATCAATGAACATGTGGATATCCATTCATAGTTGATGGATATACTAGATGGAGGAAGAATAGATTTCAGGGAATCCTTTAAAGTGACGAAAGAAACAAGTTTAAGGAAAATAAATGAAGTAAGGTTTTAGAAAAAGACTTTGTGTATAATTATAGAAGTAACAAGTGCTTGAAAAAGCTGATAAATTAGCAGTAATATAGAATTAGTGTAAGTAATAAAGATTTAAACCTTTATGAGTCAATTTATAATGTCTGTTTCTGTTTATAATAGGAGTAAGTTATAAACTCTATAAGTTTCTTAAGTGGATATTGGAATTCGATTACATAAATCTTATTATATGAAATAATAGAATAATATTATAAGATTTAAAAATGAGTAATTTCGAGTTCTGAATCTTCTCTTAAAGAAGACAAAAATTTTTCTGGATTATGAGAATAAGCTTTAAATTTTTCTTCGGATTTTTCTATAAATTTCTTCAATTCTTCGTCTTCTAGGTCTTCGTTAATATAGCGAAATTTTCCTTGGATGAAATTTTTATTTCTTTCTTCTTTATATAGCTGCATATATTCTTCATTTTTTCGATAGAATTCTTCATTAGCTTTGATCATATTATTAGCTTCGGTCGAATCGACACTTGGCAAATTTCCTCCAAATTCAACGGGCAGACAATCAGGACTGATAAATTCGTATAAAGCTTTCATATCGGAATGAAGATACAACTGTAATGTAAATATATATGCGTTATTCTTTCGACGAAGTAAGGAATAATCCTTTATGTAAACAAGGCTGTTGAGTAGAAACATGGCGATAAATTTGATACAAATGTATAAATAATTAGAGCTACTTACTCTCTCTTTCAGTTTGCTCGGTAAAAGTGGAATAAAAATGCTTAAAATTGCTTTAATTATAATGTTCAAGTTCACGTAGTGAATTTCTTTAAATCGAACCGGATATGAATCTTTCTGTTAAAGAAAAATAATAATAATTATTTTGTTTAAAATTATTTTAGCAATATACATATATATATAATGCCAATTTTATATTATTTAAGTAAAGGATAATAATTCACTTACACGTTACTTCTGCTCGAATGCAGAGAGGGTTCGAATAGACTTACATACTTATTACACTTTCTATCTATTCTTTGGGTTTAGACAAATCTTTATGTGAAAATATGCCAAAATGGAGCAAACCTAATGCTAATGTTCCTCCGAAATAGGTTCATTTTCATTAGGAATGAGCAGTATATCGTAAAGTGTGGTATTTCATAACATAGTTTATTAATTTTATAATATATATAGGTCTGTATAGAGTAATACAATACAGTAGACTAAGAGGTATAAAATAAATATAACTTAGCTGTATAAAAACTAAAACGTTCGTTGCCACTTTCAAAAATTCATTACAATCTTGTATACTATTTATTGAATTATGTAATATAGATATTTATGTATAAATTAATATGCAATGTTAATTATAATTTACTCACCAATAGAACTTTTGTTACTGAATTCAAAAAACTTGGCGAAAACTGAAGAAAATGTGATAATGAAATTCCTTCAGCATTCACTATACAAACGACACGTTTCTCTTGAGTTCGGTGCAAATTTAGTTGTAGATCAAAGAAAAGCATTACAGTACGAAACATATCAGTTACATTTGCAACAGAAATATCCCAGTTACCTATAAAAGACATAAAATATACAATATACAATTAACAAATTAATAGCAATTAACAAAGGAAATTCATTTGTACCCATTCATCTATATGTAAACATTTAAGTAAGAGTTATGGATTCAACAGAGAAAAATTCAGCAACGAATTGCTTAATTTTTTGCACAACATTTAAAACTGCTTTACTTGTTATTTTCTAGGCAGTAAGACACTTGATAAACCATTTTTTCAGGAAGATGGTCTTACCCCAGGAAACATATCTGTTACCTCTAAAGATGCATGCACATAGATAATGTATCACTGCTATATTCTTTGTTTATAGCATAATTTAATGTTAAATCTTAACTGTTATTTCTAAAATAATATATAATAATGCTTACAGTATTGAAAGATGTAAATGTATCTTCCTTTCTGATCGGGTTTTGGCAAAAATTGCATTATATTCAAGGACAGTATGTGCTCCATTTTAGAAGGAAGAAGATCTTTAAAATATTGAGGATATTGTATTCGAACTTCGTAATAATTCTTAAGCAATTGCAAAGATCTTCCCAATTCATATTTTCTGGCGCGAAGAACTCCGAGAAGAAACATGTCGTCCATGCAACATTTTATTCCTTGATCTTCTATACAAAATAGAAAAAGTTGAGATTTTTAATTGATTCAAAGTTATGTCTGGAAGAATATATTTTTAAACTTGCAAGAAGCACATTAATATTTTTTATAGTTGGTTTAACCTCTTTAGTGATTCAGGCAATCCCCGCAGATACAGTAATGCTCTTTCTATGGAGAAATTTCGTCTTAAAAAATATCGAAAACGGAAGAAGATAGAATCAAACAGATTTATGTATTAAAATCTTCTTTAATTCCTCTATTAATTTACGGTTCAGAATTTTGTAAGCTTAATTTGTTAATTTTCTACGAATTTTTAAAATAGTAAAAAATTCGTAGAAAATTAACAAATTAAGCTTCCAAAATTCCGAACCGTAAATTAGTAGAGGAATTAAAGAAGATTTTAATACAAAAAACTCTTTGATTCTATCTGCTTCCGTTTTCGATAATTATTTAAAATCGTTTTTTTTTGCAAAAAAAGCATTGCATTTCAAATGCAATTTGATAGAGATCACGTGCATTACCAAAGAGTAAAATTAAATTAATTGTATTTAATTTTTGTAATTATAATATAAACATTCAACTCACTTATAATTTTTTTAAAGATTTTCAGAGAATTTTTATCCCAATGAAATTCTTCCTTTTCTTCCTCAAATATTGAATTTTTTATCTCCATTTCAGTCGTATATTGCTGTAATTTTTAATTGTATGTTTAATATTTTCAAAATTCTATAAATAATTCATAAAAGATTTCTCTAATAAATTTAAATCGAGTTTTCTAATGAAAATTCTGGTAGAAGGATAGGATAAGATCGATGGAATAACGCAACTCCACACACCTGTGCAATCTGCAATATGCAATCTACCTCCAGAGGAAAATTTCTATGAGATACTGATCATATTTAGGTGTTAAACACGTGAATAGAATCCGGAAAACTACACTTGGCCAGCCCGTTGATAAGGTGCGAATTTACCACCGAGTACAAGTGTCCAGTGATGTTATTCATTATACCACTAGTGCACATTTAGAAACAATAGAAAAACTTTTATACCTATTTATTGCGTACAACAAATTTTTCTTTTGCAAGAGGAATGCCAAATACGTTTATTTGAAATAATCAAATTGCAAAAGAAATTCTTAATTACAGAATATTTATTTTAAATCTGTGGGTGTTTATGAGCACTAAAACAGGTCCATAAAGTGTTATTTCTAACCTATCCATTGCAACCAAGATGGAAAATATTAGGGAGATATGTGCCAAATCTAAGGGGTGAATGATATTTTAAATGTTGCAAAGCCTCTAAATTTTAAAGGATAAAATTAATTTTTATCCTGCACCACTAAAAATATTATTAGGGAGATTAGTATAGCTGCTCTGAGTTATTTAAATCATTACAGCTTTCTAAAGCTGTACAACAAATGATCGCAAGCAAATATGCAATAACACATCTCAGAACTGTTTAAATAATAGGAAAAGTTATGGTTTAAATCTGAAATTAATATCTTACGACAATAATTTATTTTATATGTTTTAATATAATTTTGAATGTTAGGTAAAAGCACCAGAAATTACTTACCTTTGTCTTTACAAAGTCTTCTATTACGCGAAACGGAAACTAGAAGTTATCTTTACGTCTGTCTGCAATAGCCAATAGCAGAGGTTGTTTTATGACGTGGTTATCTGTTGCAATATTTTACACACCGACTTTTAATATTGGTTTACATAATCCCTTATAATTTTATATTTGATTTATTAAACTATATAAATCAAAATAGAAACTAGGAAGTGAGTCGAAGAGCTGGAAATTCAATTGTGTTATTTCGTGGGATCATCTGCGTCGATAATTTGCCGTAGTCATCTGGTAGTGACGTCGCCGCTGGCATAAAATGAATAAGAAAAAAAGAAAATGTGCGTGTTCGTGCTAGTGACGTTGCATATTGTCACTTTGACCCCGCTGTATTTGGAGAATGAAGTCATGGACCTCCATTTTTTTATTATATTTTTGGATTCCTCACAGTAGTTAATGTAAAATGGCAAAGTTTTTACAAAATCGACAAACAAATTTAGAGTACGAACTTAATAATATAAGCCACATAAATTATAAAATGCTTTGCTAATGCTTTTTCTCTCAATTATGTATTTGTGCACAGTAGATATATGTTATTGCATTTGCATTATTATATAAGAATGCTTCCATTATATAAACATACTAAAGGGAAAAATCTTGTTTAATTTTTTTACAAAATTTTTGAGAAATTAATTCATAATAAAGAAATTTTCATATGAAAAATTGTTTTACTTTATTAAGTTTTAGAAGTAACTTCAGGCTATTTGTGAGAGGATGAAAATATCACCATTTTTAGAATTAAAAGTATAGGTGAAGGTTGTAATATAAGGCTTTTTCGTGAATATATAAAGAAATATTTCTTAATTTGCGATTAAAAACTGCTTAAATAAAGAATTTAGTATCTATTTTATATAATTTCTAACAGAAGAATAGCGTACACTCCACAATATTAACGCACGAAATTATTTACTTTTATATTTTCTATACAGTTGAGTTTTGCAAGTGAATTCTTTTATAAACTGATAATAGTTATCGGAATTTATATACTATGACGCAAGGAAATTTCGTAAGATATAGAATTATTTTTAAAAAAATATTTTTCTTTTAAATAAACCAAATATTTATTTGTAAATAATATAAAAACTCAATAAAAGTTTATTAATTTATTACACATTTTTATCATTATGATATCAAGTATAAAAACAAATACAGTAAGATCGATATTGATTGATTAAAATAATGATCTTTAAATAGAATTTTTGAAAATTTATATTATCTTTATCTATCTTCAAATGAGTAAATATAAGAATGATAAAAACAAACGAGCAATTATTTATTGTGACATCATCACAATGCCGGATTGCAATTGTTAATCATATTTTTAATTTATTTAATTTAAAATAAATGCTCTCCTCTTGCCCTTGTGCATCACACGTTACGTTTAAAAGTAGAGTGATGTCTGTAATCTATTTAACACCTTGTAGAAGAAAAATTTTAATTGAAATAACGTAACTTCTAATTTGCATCGATAGTTCATATATAGGTCCTCGGGCTTTCTGCCCCTACAGTATCCATGTACCGCCTCATCTTTCACTCATCTAACACCGTTCTCGAGATTAACGAAAGTCAGCCAGATGAACGAAGACAGAGAGAATGTATAAGTCTACAATGAACGGGTTTCGTGCCATGGACAATGAGAGTTCGGTCGTGGGTTCGCGCCTCGCTCGGGCGGGTTGATCACGTGGGTATTTCCGGGTTTTCTCTACGTCTGTAACGCATAAATAGGGGACAGTTTCACGGAAGGCATCCGCTAAGGCAAATCGCCCAAGTGTTGCGTTGCCATAACTAAACAAACAAACAAGCGAATTGAATAATCGCTATAATTAATTTCTAGTAGAGATACAAGCTATTATTAAATTCACTGGAAAATCGCGCCATTTTGTCGTATCGCGATAGAATTGAAGGGAAGAAAGAGGCGATCTTTACACTTGCAAATATGGAGAGGCGATCTAAGAAGAACGAAATCGACTTCGATTGCTTTTTTCATGTGTTTTCTTCGTTTATCGCGCACATTTTTCGTTAACTACGCGCAATGCTTCCCCCAAATCGCTTTAGACCCATTCAATCGCCTCAGGGGCCATTGCCAATTTTGACCCAAATATATCTCAAAAACCAAGCCATAAACTCACATCTTGTATTACATTTTTATATTTCTCATTCGCAATTAACGGAAAATGGAAAAGTTTCAATAAAACTGACCCATGAAATTTTGAGAATGAACTCAATTTCATAAGACACAGAAGACATGCTATTGACTTTGCTACATTGTGCCACTTAATCGTGCGATTTGCGCGATGTAGCTTTTTCAAGCGCGCTTGAGCTACCTTGTATCTCGAAAACGAAGTCATGAATCTACATATTTTATTAATTTTCGTATTCTGCATCGCAATTAATAGAAAATGGCAAAGCTTCGTTAAAATCGGCACGTCAAATTTCAAAAACAAAGGCAATTAGGTACATCACATAGATGCTTCCTGAACGTTCCGCCTCAAATATCATCGATTCAGAATGTAAAAACAAAATATAGAACCTTAATAAAGAAATTTAGAGGAAATTTATATCTTTTTATGATTTACAATTATACTACAATTCTTTCCAATATTTACATATAATACTGTATTTTAATTTTAAAAGTACACTTCTTTTTACGAGTGAACGTGATTCATTATTTGTACTTTTACCTTTTCTGTCATACTTTTCATTTCAAAACTATATAATTATTTCTGAATCAATAATTTTCACAAGAATATACAAATTAATTCGTTGATAAAATTGATTAAACCATTGAATACTTTGTCGCGAGAATTCACACCAAATCCTTGATCCAAGAACACCAAAGGAAGAACACCAGAAAAACACATCAAAGGAGTGCGTTTTTCCGGTGTTCTTCGCATGTATAAACTTAAATAAAAGCCAATTTCTCACTGATAATCTTTCCGAGAGGAATTTTCTTCATAGCATGCCGCCCATATGTTGCGTTGACTAAAACAATCTAATATTGGTTGCAGAAATCTTTACAGGGGCACAGAAAGGTAAACAAATAAGCATTACAAAATGTCTGATACCTAAGCAACTCACTTTACTCGCGAAAAAACTCCCAGAATGGAGGTGCATATGCACCTTGTACACTTCCTCAACCCATCCTTGATTATGAAGTCCCCAAATCCGCCCTTGAAAACATTAGTATGAAGAATAAAATGGAAACATGAATTCTAAAGAAAGAGACAGTTTGAAACTGTAACATAATCAATCAATTATTAATTAGAAACAACTTTATTTTAGGCAAATCCTGAGATGAATTGAGTGCTTTATAAATGTGGGATTCTCACTTTCATCTGCAAGTGAATAAAGTACATGACTGCGTCATTAATGCAGAAGTCATAACCTTGACTTTTAATCACTAAAATTTAACAGCATCAATTTCTTAATATACAAATAACCCTGCAAAATTTCAGAAATTTTTTTACATTACACAAGAGTTGTTAAGCTTCAAAACAGATGAACAAAGACGTGTCATATGTGCGTAAGCGTGCACAAAGTCACACCCCTCCACACACATACACACCAACATCCATACATAGAAGAAGAAAAACTGTGTAATTATTCCACACAGTTGAGCGCCGAAATCAATTTTCTGTAACATTATTTGGAGTAAATATCTGGTAAACTTTATCATCCAGAGCAAATTATTATTAGAGATAGAAGGGCTAAATTTAAAACAACAGGTTTTTAAAAAGTATATTATCTAGCTACGTATAATTTACATTGTATAATACATTGTGTAATATATAAATTACCTGATTACGCTGATTGCACAAACTTACCACGCCTTGTAGGTTAATCTTTGGTTCTCAATCCGTAGTCCGCGGGACAAGGGTGCTCCGTGAAGCCACTTTAAGTGTTCCGCCAAAAAATCAAATATACAATTAGAAATTGTTGCAAAAGAAAAAAAAAACAATACAATGAAAAATAATTTTTGTATGGGAATGTAATCAGCAAATGCAAATGACATCATATACTACACCGAGTGCGCTCTTGATTTCAAAAAAGGCTTGCCACCCCTTCTTTAAATCTGATGTATTTTGAGTGTTCCGCAGAAAAAAAAATGTCAATGTTCAGTTTTCAACTTCAAAAAGATTGAGAATCACGGAAGTGATAAAAAGGAGTCAGAGATAAAGATCAAAGACGTACGATTTATTAGTGTTTAAGTCATTAACTAGTTCAAAAAATTAATTAATTACATGCTTTATTGTACAAAAAAATTAAATAATTAAGTTTTATTTTAAACATTATCTTATAACATTTCAACCTCGAATATCAGTCACTTCTAAGAATTGGCTATTCTTTCAGTTACTTGTTTACTGTTTAACAATATTGCATACAAAATAGCCTCTAAACGACAGCCAATTTGGAACAATACGCAATTGTTAATCATATTTTTAATTTATTTAATTTAAAATAAATGCTCTCCTCTTGCCCTTGTGCATCACACGTTACGTTTAAAAGTAGAGTGATGTCTGTAATCTATTTAACACCTTGTAGAAGAAAAATTTTAATTGAAATAACGTAACTTCTAATTTGCATCGATAGTTCATATATAGGTCCTCGGGCTTTCTGCCCCTACAGTATCCATGTACCGCCTCATCTTTCACTCATCTAACACCGTTCTCGAGATTAACGAAAGTCAGCCAGATGAACGAAGACAGAGAGAATGTATAAGTCTACAATGAACGGGTTTCGTGCCATGGACAATGAGAGTTCGGTCGTGGGTTCGCGCCTCGCTCGGGCGGGTTGATCACGTGGGTATTTCCGGGTTTTCTCTACGTCTGTAACGCATAAATAGGGGACAGTTTCACGGAAGGCATCCGCTAAGGCAAATCGCCCAAGTGTTGCGTTGCCATAACTAAACAAACAAACAAGCGAATTGAATAATCGCTATAATTAATTTCTAGTAGAGATACAAGCTATTATTAAATTCACTGGAAAATCGCGCCATTTTGTCGTATCGCGATAGAATTGAAGGGAAGAAAGAGGCGATCTTTACACTTGCAAATATGGAGAGGCGATCTAAGAAGAACGAAATCGACTTCGATTGCTTTTTTCATGTGTTTTCTTCGTTTATCGCGCACATTTTTCGTTAACTACGCGCAATGCTTCCCCCAAATCGCTTTAGACCCATTCAATCGCCTCAGGGGCCATTGCCAATTTTGACCCAAATATATCTCAAAAACCAAGCCATAAACTCACATCTTGTATTACATTTTTATATTTCTCATTCGCAATTAACGGAAAATGGAAAAGTTTCAATAAAACTGACCCATGAAATTTTGAGAATGAACTCAATTTCATAAGACACAGAAGACATGCTATTGACTTTGCTACATTGTGCCACTTAATCGTGCGATTTGCGCGATGTAGCTTTTTCAAGCGCGCTTGAGCTACCTTGTATCTCGAAAACGAAGTCATGAATCTACATATTTTATTAATTTTCGTATTCTGCATCGCAATTAATAGAAAATGGCAAAGCTTCGTTAAAATCGGCACGTCAAATTTCAAAAACAAAGGCAATTAGGTACATCACATAGATGCTTCCTGAACGTTCCGCCTCAAATATCATCGATTCAGAATGTAAAAACAAAATATAGAACCTTAATAAAGAAATTTAGAGGAAATTTATATCTTTTTATGATTTACAATTATACTACAATTCTTTCCAATATTTACATATAATACTGTATTTTAATTTTAAAAGTACACTTCTTTTTACGAGTGAACGTGATTCATTATTTGTACTTTTACCTTTTCTGTCATACTTTTCATTTCAAAACTATATAATTATTTCTGAATCAATAATTTTCACAAGAATATACAAATTAATTCGTTGATAAAATTGATTAAACCATTGAATACTTTGTCGCGAGAATTCACACCAAATCCTTGATCCAAGAACACCAAAGGAAGAACACCAGAAAAACACATCAAAGGAGTGCGTTTTTCCGGTGTTCTTCGCATGTATANAATTGGCTTGATAATTCAACTACGCTTGTTGGAGAACAATAAAAACACTACACTCAACAAGCCACCAATAAAACTCAACTGCCTAACCTATAACCAAAGTCTCCTTTTAATTTGTTTTTAAAAAAAGCGCTTGACAAACTTGCCCCGTGTGCCGAAGTTGCCCCGGTCTCCCCTATATTTGAATATTCGAAAATATATTTATTGAATCGCTTCGTTGTAGATCTTCACAAATTCTTCGTTTTTTACATAAAATTCTTCATTTTGTCTTACTACTTCAAAGAATTCACTCGAATCGAAATCTGGTAATTCACCTCCATATTCAACAGGAAGATATTCTGGATGAACGAATTCATGTAAAGTTGTCATGTCACTATGTGGAAATATCTGTAAACGAGTTATTAAACTTATAAAACAATAGCATAACATCATTAATATTCATTTACTTTTGTAATTTTTACGTTACTAAAAATCATTTTCAGTGTAATAAAAGTTCTATATATTAGGCAAAAAAACACAACTTATGTTGCAATTGCATGCAGAAAAAAGCATGTTATTAACTAATACATCCGTTTGTCTATCAATGATCCATTATCTGCTCTTTCTTTATCTTATGTGGTAATTATAGACGGTTTGCTGCAATTAAACAATGAGTTTCTTGTAGTGAAATTATGAATTTAAATAGTTGAATTCCTGCTTTGTCATCATCAACAATTATATATTTACCAGTTAATATAATAGCTTAATAATTGTGGAAAAAGAACAGAAAGAGATACTATATTATATTATTATATATTTTATATACTGTATACATTAGTAACAATATATTTTTAAAAAATTCACTGACTGATATCACTTGTGTATTCTTGTTACCAGAATGTTTTCTTCTGTACAATACACAGGCCTTTATTTATTTATTGGAAAAGTGGGATTTCAGACATTTATTCGGATACTATTTCAGTAATTAAATATAATACGTTTGAAATATCTTAATGAACAGTTTTCAGCAACATCTTCATAAACGTTTGACTCTTGAGTTTCCAGTATCCAAGGAAAAAAAGATATTCCTACTCCTGAGAGAAATGTCACCGTTTCGAATAAACTGCTACTTGTATAAACAAAGCATTCAGAATATCAAACAATAAGTACAGCGATATATTTAAATTAATATTTTATAAACATTCTTCCGTAATTTTTCAATAAAGAAACCTTTTAAGAAGAAATGTACGTTGCAAAACATGGCATATTGTGTTATAAATTAATCATAAAATAATAGATAATAAATCATTAATTTAAAAATATGCTTTTCTTTTTATATAAAATTTGCTCTGCTTTATTAATTATAAGAAAAATTACTTACTTTATTGCGTAGTTTTGCTGGTATAAGTGGGAAAGAAAATTTCAATAATCCGCTGACAATGACGTTCAGATTGACANAAATACAATACATAGATATTACATGAACTAACAAGTAGAGACTTGTAAAACATAGGTAATAATATGTAGCATGAAACCTCAAAATTTCTCTCTTAGGTGAGTCTTCAAGATGCAACTTTTCGTATAATAAATAATAAAAAGAAAACCTGACATGATAAATTATTATTGAAATGCGAGATTTTCCGGGATTTTTCTCGTAGGGAATAAACTGCGAGAATCCCGGGAAAGAAACCCTAGTCTGTAGCGATTTCAAACCCTCTAAATTTAACGTATTCATATATTTTATAGGCTACACACAGTTACTTTGACGTTGTAAAGTGAAATATATGTACTTTATAGTTAAACCTGTCTAATGTGGACCTGTTACAAAGCGAAAAATTCTGCATCCCCGCGGTGTTTTTATAAATGTAATTAGAAGATGTGGAAGTCGTATCTTCCTCCGTTGTCTTCTGGAAAGGATCGGGAGACGGGAGACAAAAACGGACACTAGCTCAAGAATAATTTCCTGTGTCGATCGCCCTGAGTTTCCGTGACGTCAGCTTTTATATCATTAGCGTGGGAAAGGGTCACGTGATTGTCCGTTGTTTACGATGACTTGCATCCTTCGAAGAGTCGTTGGTAACGGACTGCCTTCGTTTCGCGACAACGTGTTAACTTTCTCCAGAAAAAATGTTTAAACAATTACAAATTTCTAACAATTCAGTCCCTTAAACCGTCGGGCGCACAGAAGTGTTAAATAGAGTTTTAAAACAAGTAACAATTTTCATATACGGTAAACCTGTCTATGGAAACCACCCACGGTTCCTTCAAAAAGTGGTCTTTTAGACAGGTGGTCGTCCAATACAGGTGGTGTCGTAATACCGTATTTCCGTACGTATTTTGCGCACTTTTTAGCCATTTCTACTAAAAGCAAAACTCAAGGTGAGCAAAAAGAAGCGAATTTTTTCAGCAATAGGACTATATTAGTATTGTATTTTATTCTTATCGGATAACTCGATTTACGGGAGTCGTCGTGATTTTGTAAGACAGATTTAATACCAATATTTTTCCAGTTAAACTTCGCCACTAATTGCCGTTGTGATAAACCATTTTCACTTTCTCTGATAATTTTAACACGATCTTCTAACGCCAACACTTTGCATTTCTTTCGTTTTTCCGACATTTTCCAACAAACTGAAATGAATTTCCTTTGTTGCTAGACTAATTTATTAACACCTGCACCTAATTTCAAGGGAGGGAGAAGTGCCCAGGATGAGTTCGAACGAAAGTTTACACTAATTAATTATACAGTAGAACCTCGATTATCCGGATTTTCGATTATTCGGATTGTTCAAAATAAACAAAAATTTTACGAATTTGCTGATTTGCACTTGGCGAATTACGATACTGTTTATGTACGTGATGGAATGAATAACTTTTTCATAACTTTTTTGTTTCAACAACGGTTATACCCAGCACAGTAAACTCTTAAATATATTTTGCGTCGTAATAAAAATATAACTTGACATACGTATTTATAAATAATTTATATTCAAATTACATCATTTCTATGACCAAGGGCGGCGTAAGGCATGGGCGACGTGGGCCACCGCCTATGCCTGGCGGTCCGAAGGGCCTCGCGTTTCGAAGGTTTACGCATTACTTAAGAGCCTCGAACGCGACGAAAAAAATTTTATTCGTCATAAAACGATAAGTAGTTTGTCAAATTTTTATTCATAAAAATGCAGTTTCGACTGCTTTTTATTTTATAAAATCCGTCTTGCGCTACCAGAGGGCCTTTTAAACAATACGTAGTATGTTAGCGTTGGTCAGTAGTAGTCGAAATTCGATACGAACGTTTGTTTCTTGAAAATTTGATCACGGTTTAAATACAGTATTTACTTTTAATATTATCGATATGTCATCGAAAAGAAAACGTGTTGTATTATCATTAAAAGACAAATTAAAGTACTTGTTTCGATTATCCGGATTTTTCCTTATCCGGACGACCTTCATCCCCAATTAGTCCGGATAATCGAGGTTCTATTGTATTAGGAGGGGGAAACGTTGTTGAGATGGGTTCGAACAATAGTTTAGACCAGATACACTCGCGAAAGTGATCGCTTATTACAGGTATTGTATGTTGTTTCGGACCAAAAATCTATGCCCGCGGTCGCGTTACACAGGTGGTCATTTAATACAGGTAACTTATACGAAGACTCTATGGGTAAACTATTCGGTGCCAGAAATTTTTGCCCGTTTTGACAGGTGCCCGTCGAATGCAGATGGTCGCCTAAGCAGTTTTCACTGTATCTACTTTAGTTTTCGAGAAAAGGAGGAAAGCAGATTACAATATCATCAGCAGGAGATTGTGTGCGTGACTAGAGTTATAATCACTCCTAAATACTCAAATTGCATCAATACTGTTTCTGGAACACAAAAGGGGTGCTTAGTACTTAGTACATAGTTTCCTTATTATCCATTCCACTTATTGTTGCTAACCAGTTTATTAGATTAAGTATTGAGCTACGTATTCTGATCTTCGATGAGATGGGTATACTAGACAATACGTCATGAATCATCCTTGAAACTACACAAACATTGTGATCTTTTAATAATTTCTCGGTATAGAAGGGTGTAAATTGAATTTCAGAATTCCATGGGGATGTGACCATGCTTCAGAAAACCTCACAATTTATGTGATTTATCTGAGTAAATCACCATAAAAGAGTATTTGTAGAGATTCACCGCTTCTACAAATATATGAGGTCGCCGACTTGCGGAGGAATCAGTTATTCTCGCGTCAGGATAACAAAGGGGCACATGCGTATGTGGGTGATGGTGAGGAGGAATCAAGACAAGTTTTGAGGATCTCGCTCTGAATAGTGGGAGTTTATGTCTTAACCGTCCTATAGGCACAATTATAGGTTTATAAATTAATTTACATTTTTAAATGCATTATAAACTGTTCTCTTTTTAGGTCGAGGAAATCTCAGCCAAGACACACTTCAACAAATAAGTAATCTGGGCCTTTCTTCGACAGATCAGGAACCATCAAGCAGTAATATCACATCTCCCGTGGCCACGGCTCATAGTACGCCGCCTGTTGTTACGGAAACTTCTACATCAATAGATGATCCAATCCCTTTGTCTCAATATTTATTAGATAACTGTTCTATATTACTAAGAAGATTCGGTCTAGAATTAAAATACAGCGATAAATTTCGTCAATATTTCGCCGTGCGACCGGAACCTGGAAAAGAAGGAACACCTATCGAATTATTGTCAAATTACTATCCTATTAAATTTCCACGAGGAAAAATTTTTCATTACGAAGTTGAAATCAAAATGGAGAATACAAACCAGTCTAATAAGAAAAAATATAAATGTCAGAATACCAAGATAAAGCGAAAGATAATGGATACATTGTTCACTGCTGAAGCAACCTTTTCGGGTTTTAAACCAGCATTTGATGGGATGAAAAATATTTATACAAGGAAACGCCTACCTATAGATTCTGAGGAAACATATTCTGTAACAGTCAACGACGAAGAAGGAAGGCAACTTGAATGTGAAATTAAAATAAAGCCCGTTAACAAAAAAGACGATTATGGAATCGGGAATTCCATAAGTCTGGAACCACTACATCAGTTACTCGAAGGAAATTACCGTGATATAACACCCGAAATCATTATTGCAATGATCTCAATGGAAACTATACTAAGACACTGTCCTGCATTGCGATTGGTTCCTGTGGGAAGATCGTTTTTTCAAAAATCTGAAAGACAAGATCTCTCATTGGATGGCAGTCGAGAAATATGGTTTGGACATTATCAGAGTTTGAAACTCACTAAGTCGGGAGCGATGATGAATGTGGACAGATCGGCTACAGTATTTTTTAAAGGCGGACCCGTTATTGAATTTATGCTGGATGTTTTGTTTCGTGATAAGAGGAGAGAGGAAGCTTTAAGAAATATAAGATTTTTAACTAAGAAGCAAATTATGGATTTAAAAGCCGAATTAAAAGGCGTGATAATTAAAGTTACACATCTTCCTTATCCAAGAAAGTATAAAATAAGTGATATTACAGAAGAGAGTGCAAGTGAAACTTATTTTAATAAAGAAACCAATGGGGAAGAGGTACAAATAAGTGTATCAGATTATTTTAGAGAACAATATCCTGGTCTTAGGTTGAAGTATGATAATTTGCCTTGTTTGGTTTCCGAGAGACCTCCTTTAAGGAAAGGAATGCCAAAGAAGAAAGTTTACTTGCCCTTCGAAGTATGCGAAATTATACAACAACATTATAATAAAAAATTATCAGATGAACATAAAAGAGTCATGATTAAAGAAACTACTCAACCGCCAAAAGAAAGATTTGAAGAAATTAAAAATTTGCTGAAAAGAGTAAAAACTGATTCTAGTGAACTTTGTAAAGAATTTGGAATTGACATAAGTTTGAACGAGCTTAAACTTGTTGGTCGGATTTTAAACACACCTGAACTTACCTATAAAAACAATATAATAACACCTAAGAATGGCAGTTGGAATTTAGAAAATAAAAAGTTTTATGAAGGATCTCAAATTGATAAATGGAGTGTAATTAACTTTTCTGCTAAATGTAGCATGGGTGTATTAAATAATTTTGCACGGTGTCTTCTTAACGAAGGGAGTAAACTGGATGTAAATTTATCTCGTGAATATCGCATAATAAATGGTAATGCTCAATCACCAGGAGATGTCATTAAGAGAGAGAGAAATGAAAATCCTTTTTTAGAACTAGTAATAATAGTGATACCAGCTAAACCAAATGATTTATCACGGAAAATTTATTCAGAAATTAAAACTGTTGCAGAAACTGAATTGGGACTGAAAACACAATGCGTTAAAGACACAAATATTCAAAAAAAACCTCTGCCATTGACTTTAATTTGCAATATTTGCCAGAAAATTAACGTGAAACTTGGAGGAATAAATAATTCCTTAAGTCTAGAAAAAAAATCGCCTATTTTGAGTGAAGGTGTGATAATTATTGGTGCTGATTGTTCCCATCCTTCTCCAGCAGATGCTATTCCATACTCGATTGCAGCAGTTGTTGGAAGCATCGATAACCTTCCTAGTAAATATACAGCGAGCATACGACTTCAGCTACCGACAAGAATTGATAATATTAATACTGGGAGAGAGATTATTGTCGAGTTGAAATCTATGTTAATCGAAGTAATCAAAACCTTCAAAGGAGAAAACAAAACAACGCCCAAAAAAATCATTTTTTACAGAGATGGCGTGGCCGATGGGGATTTTCATAAAGTAATCGATTATGAATTGAAACAGATTAGAGAAGCTTGCAGTGAGTTGAATATGGATAATGATGACAGAAAAACTACAGTTACTTTCATAATTGTTGGGAAACGACATCATACAAGATTTACTCCTGTAAATCCCAGTAAGGGAGTAGGCAAACATGGAAACGTACCACCCGGAACTACAGTTGACACTGATTTAGTGCATCCGATTTTCTTCGATTTCTTCACATGTAGCCACTTCGGTATTCAGGGAACAAGTCGCCCTACTCATTACACAGTTTTACATGACGATAACCGTTTTACAGCTGACCAACTTCAGTCTTTAACTTATCAACTCTGCCATACATATTCGAGTTGTACAAAGAGTATATCAATCCCTTGTGCTGTAAAGTACGCTGATCTCGCAGCATACAGAGCGAAACAATATCTGATTGCTAGCCAATCAAAAATACCGGGAATAACAAGAGAAATTTCCAATACAGAAGTATATCAAATACCAGATGCCGTGAGAATGGCCATTGAAGTTGATGAAAACATAAAAAAGTGCATGTTTTTTATATAAGAAGGAATGAAGATTAAACCGCAATTGCTAAATAAAATTATTTTATCTCAAATTGATTTGCTAATTATTATAAAATGCAACCAATGTAATCATTTATATTAACTTTATCAGAATATTAAGTAATGTACTGTACTTCATTTTGTTTTTTCAATATCGAACATTAAACCACTTTGTATACAGATAATAATGATTAAAACTATTTCTATTTTGAATTTGGGAAATTTTATTTATAGGCGTCAAAAAATTCACAACTATTGAATTATCATGGCAACTATCCAATAGTAAATCCACTTACTAATTTGACACAAGTTTAGTGGCGGATTTGTGGTGTTCTCTGGGTTTTCTTCACCTATCGGCCCTCCAATGGCCAAGCGGTCTTTGTACCCTGAACAATGGGAGTTCGGTCTGAGTTCGCGCCTCACTCGGACAGGCTGGACAAGTGGAGTTTTCTGGGTTTTCTCCATGTGTGTAATGCCTAAAAATGGGCCAGTTTCCCTTAAGAAGACCTCCTGAAAGGCATCCCTCCTAGGCAGATCGCCCAAGTGTTGCGTTGCCATAACTCAAACAAACCAAACCAATCTTTATGTGTCTAATTAACTAGGGGGCAGTTTCTCACTGAAAGAACTTGGCATATACGCATGCGCTGTTTCCATATCCCATCAAACTTCAAGCAAAAGACTAGAATCCCCATTCTACTATATTAAGCACAAACACTTGAATGATAACAATAATAAATGGAGGATTCGAGATTTAGTTACTGATATACCTAAACATAGTTTTAGGAAAAACACCCAAATTTCTTTATTATTTGAAATTTAATTTAATTACGGATATATGACTCCATCTTTCCTCTTTGGGAATATAACCAAATAATCATAGATTTTGAAAAGAAAATTGTTTTATTCTTAACTTGGGTACAAGACTCGCATAAGCACAGCGCACGTGGCAAGAAGATGTCCAAGAGTAAGACAAAAGACTAAGTCGGGGACACGGTGAAGTGTTGCCACATTGGCCACATACTCCGATTCAAGTGACAACGCTCAGAAACTTGGGAGGGAAACTAAATTTCGTCCAGAACGAGTTGTCATGGTTGGGGGTGGAAGAGAGGTAGTCTTATCTTTCAGGAAAAATGCGGTAGATTGAAATAGTTTGCTAACCTCGAGTTGTGTCTAAATTGAAGTGTTTGAGCGTCACAGGACACGAAAAGGACCAATACAGATTAGTTGTATTGATTTGCGTGAGGCCTCATAACGTGTGGAGCAGTTATTGACTCAAGGTGCTAAAAATTATTTTTGGACGAGTAGTGGACGTCTCTGACCAGGCAGATCGACCTCATATGATCCTTCAGTCTGCAGATCAAGGTAGGCAAATTATTAAGAGGTGATCTCGCGGTCAGTAAGATCAGATGGCAATGCAATGAATTCGCTGTATGTGATCTCTGCTGCTGTACTGTTGTAGTTAGGGATGACAGTGGACCTTAGTCCGAAAAGAATGGTTGGAAGTTTAGTAATTCAATTGTCGGTTAGTTGAACTCTTAGTGAGGACTTGAGCTGACGATGCGACCATTTGATTTTTTCGTTTGCGGCTGGATGGTACGCTGTTGTAATAATGTCATTAATTCTCAGGGTTTTGTAAAATCAACGAAAAAATTTTTAAACGTTTTTCATAAAACAATTTTTAAACGTTTTTCATAAAACAATTTTTAAAATTTTCACCAAAAAATTAATTAACGTATTAAAAGAGTTGAAATCAGCTATGAATATTTAGGATGGGATAAACTGTACTTGAAGCACTTCTGTATATTTCATACTTTTAGAAACTTTTTACTTTCCTATGAATGCAGATAGATTGCAATGATATGTAGTTTATACCATATACGAAGAAATCATAATCATCATCACAAAAACTACACATTAAAGACTGTTGAAAAATATTCTTCACAATTACTTTCAAGTTTAATATATGCGTGTGCTATATCCAGAGTGTTTTAAATTTTGATCTCCATGAGGTAAAATTATTAAACAATTTTTTAAATATGCTCAGAATATAACTATGTAAATTGAAAACTGCAGTAGGCACTCGATTATCTCGGATAAATAAATAAAAGTGCATTTTAAGAGAAGAAAATTTCTGAATGATTTTAATCTCAAAACTTAATTTACAGTGAATGGAACAGGTAAATTTTTAAAGAAGCGAATAGAAAATAATGCATAAATGAAATAGTTAAACGTAAGTTACTGATAATAAACTATACTGCAAAGCGTATTCTACATTTTATCTCTTTCTGACCTGCAAAGTATAATGATTTGTGATAACTTATTGACTCGTACATAAGCATTCCTGTTAATCCACTTTCCGGTTAATCGATAATCTGTGTTCTGTTTCATTAAATAAGCCAAATAAACAGATTAGTTTATTTTTCAAAATTTTTCTATAATTTCTTTTGTTTCTGTATATAAACTTGGAATACACAGTAAATATTTTGCTTTGATAGTTTGGCAGAGAAACCATGGGCAAACAGCCAACGGAAATGCCTTTCTGAAGAACTTTCCACGGGTGATTGGCCCTTATTCAAGTGTCAGACACGTAAAGAAAACTCGGAAACTCCACTTGTTTAGCCCTTTTGTAAGTTGCAAACTTGGTTGCCAGGTTGCAACTCACGAAATCATATAATTTAAAAAGTAAAATGACTTCCGGTCCAGACCGGAAGTTTGTATATAGGTAATCGGGGCTTACTGTTCCTAAGCTTTTCATACCCTCTCTCAATTTTCATGTAACTAACTCCGTTCTCGTGTTTAAGGAACAACGGATAGACATTCCGCCGACAGTGGGAATTTACAAGTCTGCATTTTAAAAATTGCAACCAATAGGTGTTTTTTCATAATTTCATAACTAAACTATTTTTACCTTAATTTTTATACACTGAAATATCATACTTTTACTGTTAGAAATAGAGTCGTGCCGGTTATGTATATAACAAACTCCGTTCAGGGGAATATGTTTCAATTCGAATAACACCAATTGCGGCACCAATCAAAAGTTCTTGTATAGTTAGTCTAGTCCTCGATTTCTATACCTCGTCTTGACTTTCATTTATCGAACTACGTTCTTGACATTAAGGAAGAATAGACAAACGGATGACAGTACGAAATTATTGCTCTACAATTTTTCTAATTGCAGCCCAATAAGTAGCCTCCAGTAAACCAGTGGATAAAACCAGCAAACAGAGGTAGTCTGTCGTGGGTTCGTGCGTGGCCAACAGATCGGCCATATGGAGTTTTCTGGGTTTTCTTCGTGTTACTAACACTTAAGTTGAAGCCAGCTTCGGATAAAAAATTTTTCCCGGATGCATCCACCCCGGCAATTGTAATAATTTTTCTATAAACCCGGTATTTATGAGGACACGCTTAATTACAACAAAACTGGACATTCCGTCCCCAATCTTGATTTCATCTCCCCTTATTAACTCATAATCCCATTGCCCAAACTTTTTCTCAGATACTGCTTAAGATATTTTAAAGTTCAGCCAAATTAATGTAAGTGCAACGATTTTTCTTATCATGGCAACATTCAAATTTCCTGTAGTTGTAGTCTGTGTAATGTCCACTTTATTTACGGGTTGAATAAAATCCACTATTCTTATGCCAAAACTTTCAAAACTATCTTTCACTTAGATGGTTTTTGCTGAGCTTTACTTTCTCAACGTAGTTTCATCACACAGAAGCAATTATTCTAGCAGTTTTACAAATTTTTTTTTATTTAAACAAGTTTTATATGAAATCATTTGGACGTTAATCAGATTGGTCACTGGGTGTAATAAACTCTTACGTAAAAGAGGCCTAACCTTAGTTAATATAAATCAAATACTTTAATATAGTAGAAGGATCAGAAGTAGGAAATACATTCGACCCCGCATAACACTGTTAATTATTTCGTTTTATATGAATTCCATGTTGTACGAGTCAATTATATTTTACAAATACGTGAGCCGTTCACAGTCAGGCACACGTATTTGTAAAATCTAAGTGACTCGTACAACATGGAATTCATATAAAACGGAATAATCAACAGTATTATACGGGAGGTCGACTGTAATCAAATAATCTTAATCTGTGCTGTTATTTTTAGCCTGGGCTCAACTGCTAGTATATTTATAAAGGAAAAAAATGATACATGTAATAGCCCAAAACTCAGTTGACCGAATTAACCGACTTTCTCACATCTCGGTTAATTGATTTTTGAGCCACACTATGCATTAAAACATATTTTATTATTTTAACATTGTACTCAACAATTATCTTCGGTTTAAATTTATTCGCTTATTGAAAGTAAAATATACTAAAATAAAATAATATATTAAAATTCTAAATTTAATAATTTTAAAATTCAATAAAGTGGAAAGAAAATTTCAAATATTCAATAACTAAACTTTGTATGAGAATTAAATAAAAATCGCGTCTAAATATGTATAATTAAGTATAAAAAAAACGTACATTTTACCTTCTGGAGTGATAAAAACGTTGAACACGTTAAGATGGCGACTTGACATCTCTTATGAGCATGCGTAAATGGAATATCGGCGCGATTTCGATTCCAATACATCGTCTGTTATTTTCGTTTGCGTATTCGTTCAAATCTTAAAAATTAAACACGAATAAAAATCGGAAAATTGAAATCAAGTATTAATTTTGAAGAATTATGATGAAATTTTTGTAAAAATCAGATAATTATATAATATTGAAAATTTAAATAACGCTTCGGTTTCTTTATTTGTCGGTAGGTGGCGACGATTCGATTCATTTTTAGCGATGTCTATAAATATAAGTACAAGACATCTACAGGGATGCTGTTAATACACTCAGATTTATTTTCAAACTTATTCACATTATTCAATAATGTATTCTTTGAAGTTTTTACTTCTGGTGGACCAAGAATTGTATTTTCATCCAATAAATCTACAGTAATTAAAGTTTGTGAAATTATTCCTGACAAATAATCTTTGTTAATATCCACATTTTTCTGCATGTACTGTACTTGTTATTATGTAATTTCAATTTCTAATCATTAGGTGTAACTTGTTTAGTTGATGTATTTTTATTATTTTTTGATAACTTCGGCTTTTTTGAAGATTTTCTAAATGGATTCAGATGATTTTTTTCTATTATGCCAACTTCTGAGCTTGTTTTTAAATGCTGTGATTTATTTTTATCAA